GCTATGGTTTTTCATACCATTGCTACGCTGACGACACCCAATTCATTCTGTCTTTCTCCGCTCAGAGACCCAGGTCGTCGCACGCATCTCTGCTTGTCTAGCTGACATCTCTCAGTGGATGTCTGCTCATCACCTCAAGCTTGACAAGACTGAACTGCTTTTTCTTCTGGGAAAAGATTGTCGCACTCTTGACCTAACAATCAACATCGGGTCCTCTGTTGTTTCCCCGACTCAGACTGCAAGAATCTGGGTGTGATCCTAGGTAACAAACTGTCCTTCACTGCAAACATCGCTGCTACAACCCGCTGATGCAGATACACTCTTTACAACATCAGGAGGATAAGTCCCCTCCTGACCCAGAAAGCGACGCAGGTTCTGGTTCAGGCTTTCGTCATCTCAGGCCTAGACTACTGAAACTCCCCCCTGGCTGGTCTACCTGCATGTGCCATCCGACCTATGCAGCTCATCCAGAATGCAGCGGCTCACCTGGTCTTCAACCTTCCAACATTTTCCCACACCACTCCGCTCCCTTCACTGGCTTCCGGTAACTGCTAGAATCCACTTCAAGACACTGGTACTTGCGTACCATGCTGTGAATGGTTCTGGCCCTTCCTACATCCAGGACATGGTTAAACCGTACACCCCAGCACGTGCACTCCGCTCTGCATCAGCCAAACGGCTCACTGCACCCGCACTGCGAGGGGGACCCAAGTTCAAATCAGCAAAAACACGTGGGTTTGCTATCCTGGCTCCAAAATGGTGGAATGAGCTCCCCATTGAAATCAGGACAGTAGAAAGCTTACACATATTCCAGCGCAGACTGAAAACTCATCTCTTTCGACTCCACTTCGAGCGATAGAATTACTAACAAAGCACTTATATACTAATAAAGGACTGGCTTATCTAAAGCCAGTTGAGTAGCACTTGAAATGTTTTGGCTCTATGAAACCTGATGTACTTATATGATTGTTTTCTTCAAGTTTGTATCTTCTTGGTCGAATGCACTTATTGTAAGTCGCTTTGGATAAAAGCGTCAGCTAAATGCAATGCAATGTAATAAAAAAAAAGGAGGGACTAAAATAACCAAGTACAAATTAGTATAGAAACTGGTGCCGTCAAAGATACTGGCATTGGATCATTCAATTTTAGGCATTGGTTGCAGAATGATGGCACTGTGTTTACAACCAAGTGCAACACTATGGTTTCCTTTCAGTGAGGCCTTTCAGAACAACTATAAAAACCTCCATAAATACAAACCATGGCAGGGTCGGACATCATGCAAACTACATCTGTTGAGTCAAAGCTATACCGATGAGGGATTCTGCTTTCCCCTATAGGCTACTCACTCTGGGTTGGCTGCGGTCATCTGCTCCTGCTGCAGGGCTTTGCTCATGGCGCTCACAGAGCTGCGGAGGAGCTGCACCTCGATGGCTCTCTGTAGCTCCGTAGGATCAGGACTGATGGAGGGCAGCAGCCGCTTCAGATCTGAACAGCAAAGGCACACAAGAACATTTAGAAGAACAAACTCATCCAAATCTGTCCTCAGGGTGATGCTGACAGGGTTGCTTTCACTGCTGCAGCCCCTAAACTGTGGACCGATCATTCCCTTCACATTAGACAGGTCTCTACATTGTCTGTTTTTCTTCTTCTTTTTTTTCATCGCTTATTAAAACTCCTCTTTTCTGTCGACCCAGTTTAGAATTTTGCATTTAAAATGGTATAATGTTGTATTCTTATTCTTGTTTATTCTAAAAATATATATATTTCTCTGAACTGCACTTTGGTCTAGAGGTTTTAAAGTGCTTTATCAATAAAGCAGTATTGTAGCAAGAAGACATACTTTATGAATCAATGAGGGTAAATTCAATGTTGCCTGTTATTTGATATTCATTCACACACAGGCCGGAAATTCACACATGCATTTGTACAAATAGGACCTTTACACATTATTTAAAAAGGTATAAACCCACCAAACCCCTTGCTCCAGAGGAGTAACGGGTTTGGTGACTTGCTCAAGTACACCTGAGCATCTCTCCAGTCATATTATCCAGTTAAAATAATCTGCCATGAACACAATTGTTCAATAAAAAAAAAGCTCAATAATAAACGCATATTATTTAACAATTTTTCCCATCCGTTTTTTTTTTGGAGAGTTAAATTCGTTAGCATAGCTAGCTAACCAGATGCTAATAACAACAGATCGCCACTGTGCTTACAACTAAAGACACAGCCACGCAAACGTGTGTACGGCTCCTTATGGGTACTGCAATATTTGAAGAGCTGGAGCAGCATTCCGGTGCTCTTCGTCAGCACTCCTTTCAGACGAGACATATACCACGTGAAGACACGTTACGCTCGTTTTGTGTTCAAGGAACCTGTCCTTGGCCAGGATAAACAGGCACTCACTTGTTTAATTATTTTGCGGTCCAGATTTCTTCTTCTTTTTTGAAGTGAGAAGTTGTACGTCCGTCCGTCGGACTCCACCCCCCCCCCCCAAACGAAAACTCTTCGGTTCTCCACAAATTACACTAGTCACCCAAATCACCGTTAAAAAAGCAGGAGGCGCCAAAAAGCGACTTATTTGCATCACTGTGTTTAAAGCTACTATGAATACCATTAAACACGATTACATTTCATCTTTTAGTATAAAAAGCTAAAGTATTTACAGTTCAAAGAGTGTGTGTGTGCCGTCTCTCACCCAGCTTGTCCTTGCTGCTGCTCAGCGCGCTGCAGTCCTCCCCCGGCAGCAGCTCCAGCTGAGCCACACACTCCGCCAGGTCCCCCTCCTCAAAGCGGCTCAGCGCCTGGATGTAGTTGAAGTCTGTCCTCAGGTTGATGCCGACGGGGTTGGTGGAGTTCTGTTTGAGGCCGTTGACGGCGGCCTGCCACTCCTTCACAGAGGACCAATCACAGAGCGCCACGTAACACTGACACGCCTTGTTGGCCAGGAAGTTGATCACCTCAGGAGAGCACTCGCTGGACTTCAGCAGCACAGTCTTCCTGCTGTCCCCTTTTAGAGGAACCCGCCCAAAGAAAACTATTAAAAGCAGCAGTCCAATGACGACGTTAGTCTTAACAGTAGTATCTAACAAATCATACACTACAGCAAATTATAAAAAGCAAATTAATTTATCTTTGTAACTTATTTAATTTCGGGGTCATTAACTACAATGTAGACATAGTGAGTGCGGTGCAGATGTAAGAACAGAGCAGTTGGCCTGCGTATACTGTGGATATCTCTGGTTACCGTTGCTGGTGTGTTTGGGGCTGCTGGTGTTGCTGGAGATTTTGAGCAGACTGCATTCTGGGCTTTTGATGCTGCAGTCCATCCCTGTGGCGGCAGACAGCTGATCCTGATACTCCAGAGCTGCCTTCTCAAACCTGAACAAACAAACACACTTTTAAATAGAGGAACCAAATAGCCAAACAATCACATGGATATGCTTAGCCTTGAGGATGTGTGTGTGAGGTGGGGCTGCTCACCGTCCCTCCGCCTGCAGGGCCACGGAGGGCAGCCAGCCCAGGCTTCGGCCCGTGGTGCTGAGGCTCCAGGCGGCCAGGCCCTGGATGGCCTCCGGACAGCGCAGCTCACACAGAGCCTCCACCAGCAGCGTCAGAGGAACCTCCATCTCTGGACCCTGAGAGGCAGAACATGCAGTTAGTCTACCAGTTTATACCATCAGATAACCACACATCTGTGTAATCTAAATCACTAGTGATGTGTGCTGGATGTCTTTAAGATATGGATCGAAAAAACTAGTTCTAGTGTGTCACAATTTAGCTTTTTAATGAAATTGATTGGAATAGATTTGTTTTTGTTTATTTTGCCATCCAGCTTTACTGCCTCTGTTTATGGCTGTCCGGAACCTCAAAAGGGTGAGGGTGTTATATATATGTACTCCTAAACTTGAAGTAGTGTGATTGTTTGGTAGCTTTTAATATGTCTGTCAGTAATGTCTGTAGCTTGTAGCCTAATGGGCAGCCGCGGTCCCCGGGGATTGTTTCATGATTGTTCCATGATAATGCATAAACAATCTCTCATTCATTCTCTATGGCAGTGGTTCCCAACCGGTGTGCCGCGGCACACTGGTGTGTCGCGAGCACTGTCCAAGTGTGCCGCAAAAAAACGTATTTTTATGTTCCACATTTTTTTCTCACTTAATAAATTTCACTTCATATACTTTATTTTATTACATGTACAATGGAGTTCATAAGCTAATAAAACATATATTGCTCAGAATTAGAAATATTAAACAGCTTAAATTCTCATGATTTACGTCAGCCGTCATTGTTTACGGTGTGCAGAGCAGCTTTTTATCCTCGCGCCAAATAATTTCAAGATGGATCGTTACGTAGTGACAATAAATAAAGAAGCACCCCAGCCCTCAACAACACAGGCAGGGATGACAGAACATGATGGAACAGCAGTGCAAAAGAAGTCTAAAATAACATTAATATCAGCCACAAGTTTAAACAGCAGAGCTCAGGATGAACTCGCAGAGCTATCTATGGACCGCTCCCTGAAACTGAAGCACGGGGAACTACGCCTGGATATATTTTGGCTGCTTGTGGGACACTAGTATCCATCCCTCTCAGAGAGTGCCATCAAGGTGCTTTTACAGTTTCCAACCTCCTACTTGTGCGAGCTGGCGTTTTCCTCACTCGCATATGTCAAAAACAAGACCCGGACCCGGCTGTCAGTTGAGCAGGACCTCCGCGTTGCGCTGTCCACTATCCCCCCACGCATCAAGAGACTCTGCTCACAAAAGCAGGCACAAGTGTCGCACTAGCACCGTGTAACGGTCTGAGAAATGTTTATGTTTGGATGTTAATTTGTGTGCCTTTCTTATAAATGTATGATTTATGATTTTGTCAATCAGTATTATCTGGATAGCGAAATGCAGAATGTTTCATATTTGGGATGTGGTTGATGAGTCACATGGCCACAGTCAGGTCAGAGGGCATTGTTTCATCCCTCCAATTCTATTAAGTTATTATTTAATCTAAGTGATCATAGGCCTGCCTCTTTTGAAATCCAAATGTAAAATAATAACTGTATTGATATGTATTCGTGTTTTTACACAGGTAGGCCTACTATTTTCAGCCAAAACAAAAGAGCTTACTTAGTAGGCCTTTTTATAATATTGAATTCATCATAGAAATGGTGTTGACATTTTTAGTCTGGTTCTTGTCATTATGTGTGAATACATTATTTGTTCTATAAAATGTTCTATTCAATTAAATACACATTTGAAAACCAATTTATGGTGTATTTATGGTTTTTAGTTTAAGCTCTGAAGTGGTTTTTAAATCTACAAAAAAGTTGGGGTGCCTTGGGGTCGAGAAATATTTTCAGGGGTGCCTTGGTAAAAAAAAGGTTGGGAACCACTGCTCTAAAGGTCACGTTGAAGTTTATGGGGTGAAAAATGTACAACTTCCTCATGCCGAACAATAGTCAAATATCATGGTCATTTGGTAAGGAATCTGGTGAATGGATTTCTTGTCTTCTTTTTAGTTTATACTGTTGCGTTGGTGGCACAAGAGGAAAATAATGTATTTGATAATATGTATTCCT